CCATACATTTAGCAGCATTTCTTCTTGTCTAGGAGGACTCATTCCATGAGATAGGTTAGCAGAAAGGTAGAGCAGGACTACTTGGTAAGAGTCCTGTTGTACCTGAAAGGCTAATGTTTATCCACAGAATAAGTTCTTTTAGGCAAGACGATGTGAGACCAAATGCATGAACTCTTGAGACTGCTTACCATTTCACTTTAAGACTTCTGGTCAGTTTATTTAACCCAAAGCAAAATGGGTGATCTTATGCTGGCACTGATATCCCACTGGAGAAAGAATGATCACATTTCAGTTTAATAATTTTCTTTGTGAAAAGACTTTCCAGATGCAGACAAAAGGATTATCCATGGGCTCCAGAACTTTTGGAATTTGCTAACCATCAGAAAGGTGGATTATTCGATTCTTGCCAAGTTAACAGCGCCTGAGGCATGCACCTGTTTCCCCTTCACATCTCCAAAATAAAAAAAATCAAATCTGTATATGCACTGACAACTCCTAATTGAACTATGCACAAATATTCTATCTAAAAGGAACATGAGCTAACCTTCTAACAGACTCAGAATGACACTCTTCACACAAATGGGGTGAGGGGACACGGTCTACTGACCTCCCCCCAAAAAAACCAAAAACCCCAGAGGGCTACTGATTTTGTTTTAAATATATTAGACTTACTATTTGGAGCAGAAAAAGTCAAAATCCAAATAGCAAATGCTGATAGAGCAAGGACAGGAGAACCAGGGGTGCTTGAGCTCACTGAGATTCTCCAAACTCTACTCTGAAGCTCAGTTCACCACCCTCCCATTTGGATCTGTGACCTGTTGCAATTCTCAAACAGGAAAAGTGCCCATTTTGAATGGTGTGTGTGCCTATTCATGTTTTTCAAAAGGTCTCACTTCCAACATTGACTAAAGCATGAAAGTGCTTTTCTTTCTTTCTTTCTTTCTTTCTTTCTTTCTTTCTTTCTTTCTTTCTTTTTCTTTCCCTTCCTTCCTTCCTTCCTTCCTTCCTTCCTTCCTTCCTTCTGCAAAACACACACTTTTAAGTGTACGTCTTTTCTCATCTTCCAAACTCAATTGCATATTCAAGAATTTACTTTTCTTCCAAAAAATGTGCTCACATTCAGGATTTCAAACAGAGCAACTTCTGGGTATTTATGAACTGAACTGAAATTATCATACTTTCTGGAGGCAAAGCCCCAAGAATGGGGTATAATTATCTATGGTCAAAGAAGAAACACTGTCAGAGTAGAAGCAACCAAAAAGGTAAGAAGGAGTGAAGCAACACATTAAAAGATGGCCCAAAATCCAGATAAGGCAGAGAACAAATCACAGTGAGCTGTCAAAAAGGTGGTCTTGAGTCATAACTGGAGGTATTGTGACTGAATTGTTTGATAGGCAATGGAAGAACTGAAATGAGAAGGCACTGATTACTACGCAAATATTCAAAACAAACTGAAAGTTCAAAATAGGTCCTCCCCTCAGGGTGAAATCAAGAGCAGACATTTACACAGTTTCTAACCCACAGAATCACCATGGATATTTCAGCACATTTAAAATTTGACTGATTTATCTGGAAACAAAGGTCCATGTTACCAATAACCTTCAGAAGAGAACTACAGAGGACTATTTTGCTGGGCTTATGAAGTGTTGGTGCTGGTTAGGGGACTCTCAGTCAGTCCCCTAACTTCGTAAGGCAAAGAATTTTGTACAAGCCCATGGAAGGTCTAAGTCACAACATGCTAAGTATGCAACCTTGAAACTGGCTCTTCATACAACCCTTTGTGGTTAAGGCTGAAGTATGCACTCACTTTCCTAAGTGGGCAAGGGGAGAAAGGTAGTTTGCCAAACAGTGGGGATGTTTAAAAGGAAACTCTGACCATTTACTTTCAGGACTGATAGCACGGCAAACAAATGAGAAAGTTCAATGAAAGGGCAGTGCCAAAAGGATGGAGACAGACATAAAAATACTGTCAAGCGTCAGTCAATTCACCATTCAGCACATGGCAGGAAAGAGCTGAGCTGTTCTGCTTTGCATCAACCACATATGAGAAGGATTAAAGGTCATAAGTGGTTAATCCAAGACTGCAGATGAATGAGCAAGAGGTTCTATAAACCCCAATTGTTGTTCTCACTTCCAAGGTGATGGATGCCAAATCAAAGGGTTGAACAAATTCTGCTGAAGAGGCAGCTTAACTATGCTTTGCTTTACAAGGGAAATTGCAAAATGGCAGAGGATTCAGCATAGAAAGCATACGTTTCTTGTCACTTGAGCAAGATCCACAACAGCAGCTATGAAACGAGGCAAATGTGCAGTTAGTCCAGTAATTAGCCTGGAAAAGTACATATGGAAATAAAGATGGATTCTTTCTACAGTAAGTTGAATTCTTACACAGAAGAATTAACAAATCAAAAAGCTTAAGCCCCACGTTGTTTTTTCCTCCTTAAGCAAGTCAATGCCTTTCTCAGTTCTCAAGCCTCTCCCTGAATCGAGAGACTAGCCTTGCGATTACACATGCAGTTGCAAACAAATTATGGCAGATCAGGAAAAGGGCCCAAAGACTCTCCCACCTTTATGCTACATGCATTTCTAACATGCATTTTGCCAAGGGAAAATTCCAGAAGTTGAGCTAACACAGGATCTGCTGTGTGTCTCACGTGTGATGGAGCAACAGCCTTTATTGGAAGAGCTGTGAGGGAAGCTGGGAGCGGGTGGGAGGGGGAGAGAATTACATCTCCAGACCTGCTTCCCCCTCCGTCACCCTTCACAAAATGCTAGTCCTGTGCTTGCTGATCACTACAGCTGCCTGTTCCAGTAGTTCTTGCTGGATACAAACAGCCTGTCAATCAATGCTGTGCACTAGCATAGATGATCTTGGCAAGCCCCATTCCACAAGTCTGAACTGTTGGGGCTGAAAGCAATGAAGCAGCTGGCCTGGGCTTGAAATTAGAAAGCCTATGAAAAGTTGTCCTGCTGGATCACACCAACGTATCACCTTGTCCAAACTCCTTTTTCCCATTACAGACCAACCGGATTGTTCCTGGGATTAAACCCCTAGACATGGAAACTCCCAATAAGCCATTACAGATCATGGTCAACATGGATAAACTATAGGCATACAGAATGGATGGGTTCACACATCATGGCAAGTAATGCTGCTTTGTCACCATGGAGCAAGGAGCAAGGCGTTTCCATGCCCCTGCTTGGTCCTCCCACTCCCTTCTGCATCCCAGCAGCCCTGGTGAGCAAAATCCTCTTCTGCACTGTATTATTCCCTAGTGACATCATTTGCCTCTTCCAGGCAGTCTGCTGATGTCTTAAGGTGTGTTCTCCCTCTCCCTTCCCCTGAATTGCCCCTGCATCTCTAATATTTTGCAGCCAGTTCCAAAAGGTTTTTAAAAAGTTGAATGAACACTTTTGCTCTAATTCCCCCTCCTCCCTTCAACAGTCACCCATTTCCTCCATGTTTCAGAGAGTATATTAGGGTGAGGGGCATATCACTTAGCCAACGGAACCAAAGGGAGTGATGACCATGTGTGTTACTAGGGGACCGTGGGTAGCAGGAACTGGCTGTGTTGGATTCACTGCTGCTCTTTCTGTGAACCTCTACAGTGTTTCCTCACCACCGACAGTAAAATGGAGCTCCCTGATATGGATGTCACAAGATGCTGAAGTGAAGCACAGAAACCTTAGGACAAACCACTGAATCTCTTCATGGTTTGGGGAAAGCAAATGTACCACTGACTGGAACAGCACAACTGGGTTCTGAGGATGCAACAGACCACCAATAATAAAAATTCACCATGGCCTCTTGTGACTTGCAAACCCAGCTAACCGACTTCCAGCCATTGGGACCCATCTTCATTTATTTCAGTTAGGTAACCCTATTCCCTATTTAGTTAAAAATAGTTTATTGTTTACCGCACAAGCATTCTAGAAAGATGGAAACACCGGGTAGAAGCATTAATCTAAATTTATAAGATATAGGCCATAATAATACATGAGAAGTTACTTTTGATTAGGTAGCATATTTAAAAAATCCAAGAGAAAACATGGTTGCTCAACACTATAATCCTTAATTTCAGAGGAAGAGCATTAAAATGTAAGTATTACAACAAAACCAGTAAAATTACCCATCTATATCTCCACTAATCAATTTAGGATCTTCTGATTCATTGTCCTTATTTTGGCAGCTGCTATTGCAAAAGCTGACATGTCTTATCACTGGGTCCTTGTCTCCTAAAAGATAGGCTTAAAAAGAATATGTAAAAAAATTTATAGAATGCAACAATCTAACTAGATTTTACATCTGAGGAAAAAAGAAGAAAACAGTAATATGCAAGATCTTCCACAATTCCCCACAGCTTAAATATGAAACATAAAATACAAAACTACACATATAATTCATTTTCTGATCCTCCCCATTTTCAAAGCCTGGGCATTTCTTAAGTTTGTGATATTAAGTAATAAACCATGGTGAGGATCTGGTGAACTGACATAGAACAAAATGTTAGGGTAGAAGTATTTTTAAAAATTCTTCTGCCAGTTGTTGTTCATGAGAAATGTAACATTCTTTGCTGAATTCAAGAAAAACAATCAAAATACTTACATGGTGATGTCATGGACTTCAGAAATAAATTATGTTAGACCAACATACAGTATGCTTGAAAATCTCCCACTTGGAAATGCATTGCTGGGGCAACATGTTTACCTAGCAGACCTTTCATTCTTTCATGTTTGGACTGTACCAGGAGTTCTCAGGATTAACACGATTCACAGGGGCCATCCTCCAGCCACTGATTGTATGCCCTATTACCCGATGTAATCTTTCCCCCATGTAATCTTTCATATACTTATGAATCAAAACTTGACACAATGCAACCTTTGGGATATAATAATGGTTTTGTCACTATGGGAAGACCCAACATGTTTCAAGAAAGACAAATGGGAATCCTTAAGTAACAGTCCCACACAACTTGATTAGAGCACAGAACTCCACTCACCTTTTCTACCAGAATTACCCTGTCCTAGTGGCCTGTCAGTTACTGAACCTTAAAGAGAAGAGAACAAACAGACATGCCACTTAAGAGACTGCATAAGCAAAGCATTCACAGGTTTCATTTCAATGTTTGATCATTCTGCAGGAAAGCGACAAATACCGTGCCTCGAAACAACTTGTAGACAAGGGCTCCCACACACTCACCTGGTCCCTAAACCTATTCCCAATTCACCTGTCTGCTCTGCTGGGACAGTTATTTTGCTACATCCAAGCAAAACATATGAGCTTAGTAATGATAAAGAGACATTAGAGAGAAACCAGGGGTTCTAGAAGGCAACCAGTGTGGTTCTGATGGTATCACAAACTGCATGGCCAGACAGAAGTGTGGTACTAGGACTTGATGCTGCATGGCCAGATACAAATGCCTGGAACAAATGTGAGGGAGGCATACAGACTGCAAGGTAAGGGGAGGAACTGGCAGCTGTCCTCTGTCCAGGCTACACAACCTCCCTCTATGGAACCCAATGATGGGAGTGAGAAAGATGGCTGCTTTGGGTGTACGTTCTCATGGGCTGCCTGCTGGGCTGCAGAGGAAATGGGATGTGAAGCAGAACTAGGGAGCGTGGAAATATAGGCCAAGCTGAAATACTGAGATAAGAGAAGAGGAGACACTTATCTCAAGACCAGATTCCCCAGGTGGGCCAGCAGTCTCTGGGAATAATCAAGATATACATCTGGTGGGAGAAGAGTTGGAACAGGAGAGTTTTTCAGACTTAGACAAGGCGAGTATGGTTCCTGACCCCATGATGCATCACCAACGGAGAAGGGCAGTCCAGTTAGGTGATTGGTATGTGCAAAGGAGGCGTGCTTACTTTCAGAAGGCTCCTCCCAATGGGACGGGGCTCAGGCATGCTCATAAGGAGAGTTTCTGGAGGTATTACTAGATTGGGTTCAACAAACCATTCTGTGCATGCTCAGAGATTCATTCTGGATGTTTTGTGCTTTTTGGTCAATAAAGAAGCTTTGTGAGGAAAAATGGTCTGTGGTTTTTGAATACATGAAGGAGGAACCCTGGCTTGTGACACCCTACAGTACTTCACACGTAGGGCAGATGGAGCAATGGGGGAGGAGGGAGGATCCCTGTTCTACTTGTGCTAGAGGGGAGAAATTAACATACAACAAGATGACCGAAACTCACTTAGAAACAACAGAAGGTCAACATTCCAACCAGCTCTTCCAAGCAAATGCATTTTATTTTTCATTGTATTTCAGATTGACTAGAAGGATGGGGAATGGAAGCAGCATCTGGGGAGAATGGTCTGGCTATTTTGATATTAAAATAGTTTTTTCCAGGTTGACAGTCAAAGAGCTGTTGAGCTACATGCCACTGAATCAAAGTCACTGCTCCTGTTAGCCTAATTCTACTTAACACATGCTGGAAGCACCATGACCAATGAATATAACCCGATTCCTACCCTGCACAAAAAAATGGGCCCTGGCCAAATGTGGAACAAATTTATCGTGCAGTACTATTTTCTATTGGTTCCACCTGAACTAACCGCAGCATATAATGAAATTGAGCAGCAAATGCAGGGCAGCACTCAAGCAGCAGTGAAAATTGATCTGGCTATGAGATGGTGCGAACATGGCCAGATTTAAACACAGTTCAAAATCTCTGACCACAGAGAAATGTTTAAGCTGTATGTATGAATGGACTCCAGGTTTTGGAATTAACACCTTGTTCCCACTTATGTCAGCATTCAAGCAAGCAATAAATTTTTCTCCGCCCTCAGTACCTGAACATACAGGAGTTTTATTCTGTACTGAAGAACCACTAATGGGTTTGCCATCCAAAGTGACACACCAGCAATATCCAGTATAAGTATGACACTGCACCTGTTTGGAGGAAAAAGAAGAGCTTACTATGCTTGTTCCCCAGTATCCGACCACAGAACTATCAGCACTTGTCCAACAGCTGAAAGTGAGCACAAGCTTTTATATCAATATGTCTATTATGCAGTTATCGGAATAAATATTTCCAAGGGAAAGAGGAAATATATACATTTCATACATTTGAATACTATGGCTTATTATGCTCCCCCATCTAGCCAATATATAAAAACAGAGACAAGTTAAATACTGAATATTGTTTCAAGAAAAGGGCACTTTGGTTATACCAACTCTAGCCAAAGCAATAATTATCCCACCCTTTCTCATAGCACCACTGTATTTACAACCTTCTATTTGTATACACTAACCATACAGTTGGAAGAGGCCATTTAGGCCCTGTTCAGTAAAGGAATCCAGTTTTAAGCATCCCTAACAGATGGCTGACCAGTGCCTGAACAACTCCAGTGAAAGAGAACCCACAATAGGTATTTGGTCCCGTTGCCTGACTGATAGGAAGTCTTGCCAAAAGTCAACCAAAAACTGCCTTCTGTCACATAACCCCATTATTTCATGTGCTACAGTCTTGGATTATACCATTAATGCAGAACTCATTTTCCAGTCCCACTAACTCTGTCCTTCCTGTTTCTGGAGGTTCCACTAAGAACTTTGCATCGCATTCCATTGAGTGCAAGCCAGGGTCTTTGTAAATCCAAGGAGACAAGATGCTGCGTGTGAGGGCAGCATCATTCCTATTAGATCAGAGGATACATTGGTAATGCTTGAAGTACTTGTTTTTCAAAATTAACAATTCAAAATGTTTGCCTTCTCACTACAAAGGATGATTCAAGTAACACAGAGCCAGCAATAGATATTCAATTACACAGCAATTTCCAAGTATTGCTTAGCATTCAGATGATTTAAATACAATACAGAACTTCTCAGTGATGTCATACACAACCGATACCAGTAATATCATAAACTGGCTTCTTTTACAGCAAGGTGCTTATGAAGCAGTGAAAGAAAGGTTTTGTTATCCAGTATTTTAAACAGGGGAAAAACTTTCGGCTACAGCCAGAAAAATAAGAGCCATTTTAGACCAATCTTGGCTTTACCTCCTTTTCTTTCTTTTTTTTAAGTCAAGAGAAGGGTGTTTTGGTGGAAAAAAGTAGTAGCATAGCTGACCTCATGCAGACCACATAGTCAACACCCCACTTTGGAAAAAGCAGTTCCGCACGCCTCCTTGCTGCTGACAGAACTCGCTTCCAAATAAGTGCATGCAAAGTAATAGTTTCAGCTCAGACCATCAGCAAGGCAAAGGTACCAGCTCAAACAAAGAAGAAATAATGACTGTAAATGGAAAGAAAAGGAAGAAGAGTGATGATGCCAGAACTGGGTGGGAAGGTCAACTGCTTCTTGTGGCCAGCTGGAGAGAGGGAGACACACCGCAGGGTTTCCGAATCCCAACCTGGTTAGAGCCACTTGTGGCATAAACAGGTCACAACTGATGGGGCAGATCTGAGGAGAGGAGAGGAGAGGAGAGGAGAGGAGAGGAGAGGAGAGGAAGGCAAGTGCCCAGAAGTCTTGGAGCACAGAAAGCAGGGGAGCTATGCAAGCCAGCCTCTCGTGGCTCATGTGCCGCTGCAATAGAGAAGCACCCTTGGCTCCAGTGGCACGGTTGATCTTGCTGGCTCAGGGCTGATGATACTTAAAGGGCCTCCTTGACACACCATTAAACATGGAGAGGTGAAGAGCAAAAACCAGCCACCACCATGGGATTGCACTCTGAATCATTATGCTCCCTAGTAACTACCAAGGTTTTCATACTCATTTTCATGCAGCAAGCCAACCCCAACTTTTCCATCCCATGGGAAGTTATTCTCTTTTCAATCCATGCTGGATGAGGACACAACAGCAAAGCTTCCTGCACAACCCCCAAAATAGCAGGAAAGATTTGCACAACAGAACTGCTCTCTCACCATTTCCCACATTAATTAGAAATGATATACATCCTTTCTCTCCACCCGCATCCACCATGTCATACACATCAATTACTGTGTGTGAAATAGAACAAAAACCAACACTTCAGACACTGGGCCCTTAAATAAATTCCTACACTCATAAAAATCATTAGAATATGAAAACATTAAAACTGTAGCCACTGGCATGCTCCTCTGGGAGAATGGAGCCTTTGTTGGGGTCTGTTCAGTTCCTTGCTGAAGATGCCAGAATATGGTTTCAAAGGACTGCACAAACACTTTAACAAGCTGACTGGATCGTCCATTATAACTTGACAGAAGCAAATCAAATCAAGGAGTGAACTGTTTCCAGTCCATCTTCTAGAGAAGTTAAAACAGAGAATTGTGTTATGTGTGGAAAATGAGGGAACCTGTCTGGATTATTAATTTGGCTCCACATGCTGCTGACCCGGACTCATGGGGTAAAGAAAGCTATCCCTATGCTTCTTCCCTGGCACTGGGCACAGCTCAAACTCTGCTAGCCCTTGCCTTATACTTTTCCTTCTCCAGAAGATGGAGCCCATTGCACATGAGGCACTCTTTGAAGAAGGCTCAAAACCTCAAGTTAGCTCAAAAAAGACCAGCCTTGCTAGCCACTAAAGGACTAGTCAATGTGATCATGTGGCACCCCCGGGAAAGGGCCTGGAGAGTATTGTTAGAAAACTTGGCAGATACTGCTGCCCTTGTAGGTGCCATGTCGCTGATCTTTGCTGATTCACTAGCCTAACAGTAAGATTGATCGAGATGAAAGATCACATAGAAACATAGAAGGGGCTTCCCAGACCATCCAGTCTTATCCCAGCTCCAGCCGGCTCCACTCATGACATGACCACCATGTGTATGTCCAGCCTATCCTTGAACACCCTCACCATTGGGGCTTCAACCACCTCTTGTGGAAGCCCACTCCATATCTCCGGGGTCCTAACTATCAGGAAGTACTTCCTGGCATCCAAATTGAACCTTGAGTCCCTAAGCTTTTCTCTATTGGAACATGCCCTGCCCTCCTCTGCAAAGAGAGGGTCTTCTCTATAGTATACCCTCCCAAGATTTATAGGGCTGCCTCATTCTACATCACTTTTTAAGAGAACCTTAAAAACATGCCTACATATTTAAACTGTGTTGCATTGAACTGCACTGTATTTTCAAAGTGTTTAACTACAAGATGGTTTTATGATTGGTTGCTATTGAATTTACTGTTTTATATACTGTACTGCCTTGATAAGACTACAGTCTCAAAAGACTGCTACAAAATCCATCATCGTCATCATTGTCATTTTTGTTGTTGTTACTTGACAGCACCACACTTGAACAGGTTGAAACAAACCTAAGTGCTTCACCAAAATTTAAGTGAACAGCTGGAGGCCAAAAACAGAAGTAACATGTGCAATTGTATACAATCTCCCTCCATACACTGAAAGCAACAGCTATGTAGGATCCCTATGTAAACAGCATAAAATATAGGATACAGAAGCATGAGGGCGCATAACTCAGCAACAGTCAACCCCTCAGCCTTTGGGAGAAGACAGGGGGCTGTCTTTAAAACACACAACTTGCTCCATCCAAAATGTTTATATTGAATAATACGAAGTACCAAAATAAAATTCCATTAGGAGGAATAAAAATCCAGCCCTCAATTATCTTAAATGTAGCTTAATTTACCAACCCTTTGGTGAGTCCCCAAAGGGAAAGGGCTGCCAAACAGAACTTTTCTCTGTGTCCTTCTAGTCCTAGTTAGTGAACCCTTTGAGTGGGTCCTCTGAGTTATCTAAGGAAGGAGGCAATACATATTGGCATTATGGTTGGCTAATTTTACTGTACTTACTCCCATATAAGAATGGCAGGATATACAGCAGTTACTTTCCTTTTAGGGAATTGCTAAAAATGCTTGATCATGGACTAGCAGGCTAGAACTTGCCAGTTTTTCTGCAAACAAAACAAAAAACTTTTTTTTTTTTTTGAAAAAGCACTAATGTTCCAAAGGCACATGGATGCCTGCTCATGTAGTGTTTCTGATAAAGAATTGTATACAGTGGCAGATAAGAAATGAAAGACAAACATCTCTCCTGGCTTTTTCAACAAGAGGGTTAGTGAGGATGGAAAGAAAAACACTGATTTTGCTTTCAAGAAAACATTTTCCACCAGAAGAAAAAACATTGTCAGTCTTTGGGGGACACTGTGGCTAAAGAATGCCCGACAGGGCTACTGCTATAGCAAGAGAGTCACATGTGCCCATGAATGTAAACATGCTGATACACACATGGAAAAGATCCAGCCTTACTTTAAAAAAATAGGTCACTGTGCATAAGTGATATCTAAAATAGATTTCACAATACTAAACTTTCACCACTTGAAGCATAACTGCTTGAAAAAAGGGAATAATTTAGAATATTTAAAGTAGATTCTAAGTCAGAATCACATCCTCATATGTAACAGAGGTTGCTGTTTTGCTTTTCTACAACACAGACTAGGCTACATTTATCTCAGAAAAAATAAAATTGTACTTAAGAAATGAACATGGCAAAACTTGGGCTTTATAGTTACACTGGGCTCTGAATCATAGCTAATAGTTTTTCAGAATGTGTTAAAACTTTCTTCCAATAGTTTCATACTGCCATTTCTAACTGCATTCTGTAGTAAATTTTCACACAATGTAGGCAGCTTTCTCAGCAGGAAGCTTTTTCACATGGCCCTTATACCATAAAAATACTAAGCCACCTCAATTCAGTGGAAAACACATTTAAAAAAAAACACACTGCATGTCTCAAAAATGGCTACACCCATATATATTCATTGCTAGTACAAGGGATTATCAGCTAATAGTTTTCATTTCCAAAGCTGAAGATTCATAATTCAGTTTTTTGTGGTTCTTCTCGGAGCAGGCAAACGTTATTTAAAAATGCCTGTGCCACAAATGAAAGTGCATCCTAGTGTCCAGTATTTCAGCTGGTGAAGTACAATTCAGGTCTGGAAGAAAGACTAACAAAGCTGAACTGTGATCCAGACAAAGTCAGACTTTTAAATCCAGTTGGGAAAAAAGATATAAGGAGCACTTGGGCTGACATGCCATGTAACAAAGCACATGCTAGACCCTGGTCTAGGAGGAGGAGGAGAAAGATGTTGTCACAGTGGTTACTGCAGTGACGATCTCTGTGCTAGCACCTGAACAAAGCTTCCAAACAGGAACAGGAAAGGAGGCAAGGCAATACATATCGATCAGATGAAACCTGTATCAGAGTATAAAAGGAGATGAAATGTGCCATGATCTTTATTAATGCAGCATGACTGGCTGTGGAATATAGAGGAAACAATATTAATCCATGTTACCATGTTGGGCCTCATTCCTCACTGGTCCTGGCTCTGCTTTTGTTTTGTAACATACTCCTACTTATGATTGCAGCTAGAGTTTTATACTGAAATGTTTAGTATTTTAAAATCTGTTCAAGCGATGAATTTTTAAAGAACTTTAAAACTTATTTTAAAACATCATTTTTAAAATCTTAAATCTATAAACTGGATGCTCTGTTGGTGGTCATTTTGTCTGTCTTTGGAGTACTGCATTATGTGCATCACATCACCTGCATATCAAATGAATCCCACTGATTTCAGTGGAAGAGATTTAAATGCCAAGATTACTAACATATGGCTAAAATAATGTTCTGTATATCTCAGTTCTAGCTGGCTGTTCCATTGAAGTAGAAAAATTCTCAGGTTCCTCACACATCTGCCGCACTTCAATAAATGTGGACCAACAGATGTTGCAAAACATTATTGCTTTCTATATTACTTGTTATAAATACGAAACAAATGATAAAAAGCATTCTGTGTCAATATAATCCACAGTCTTCTGATAAGACAAAATTAAGCATAACCACTTGCGATCAAGATGGAGAAAGCACTCATCTGTTATTTTGCCTTTTCCACTATCCTTGCCTTTTCAGACTTCAGGAGCATACATGTGCTTAAAAATATTCTACTGTTCTGAACACTAAGGAAAGGAAAGGGTTAAATGGCAAGGGAAAGGGTCTAGATTAAATATTAGGAACAACTTCCTGATGCCGTCAGCTGTTCAACTGTGGGACATGCTGTTCTGGAAGGTGCCAGACTTTCCATTGCTAGAGGTTTTTTAGGGAGAAGCTGCATAGTCCCTTTTTAGGGTGCTCTAACAAGAGATTTCCTGCATTAGCAGGCAGTGTGACTAGATGCTCTCTGAGGTCCCTTCAAGTTTTCCAGTGGAAGATGAAATAAATGTTCCAAAGGATCTATGGAACAAAGGTTATGGGATAGATTCCAGAAAACTGGTTTAAGGGTTTCACATTTTTTCTTATTATGAGGAAGCAGAGAGATGCTTCCTACCCAGCAAGAAATCAGAAGGTAAAGTGGAATGAGCAAGGGAAGAGAGAAAAGATATCAAAGCATTTTCAGATTTACCATGGTTTTGGAAGTTTTTAAACCAAGTATTGTATAGCTTGTTAAGCTCACAAATACACTGTCGAACATCATTTGTAAAGCATGAAAGAAATGCCTCTCACCCACATAAAGCAATGCCTTTCCCCCTGAAAGATTATATTCATGGTGACTACTACATCTATCCTTATATCTAGAAGCAAAGGTAGAGAATGTGTACTGCATATTCTGCCCCACCCCCATGCTTAAATAAAAAGTGCTTTGTAAAGGACCAGAATTAGTGGTAGTCTCAGGAAGAGCTTGTAGGTTTTAAGCAGAAAAGGCGGAATCCCAATGCACCAGGTTAGTGGAGTGGAAGAAGAAACATGCTGGACAGGGATGCATAGCTTTTTTTTCCATTGACTATGAAGCTCTGAACAGAACATGCCCTGGTCTTTGCTTCAGAGAAAACTGTGCAGACAGGGGCTTCTCTGTATGAGGCATTTAACCCACTACTTTACCAAGGCTGCTTCTTCCATTTTCTTTGTGGGAAGAAGAAGATCCTTTTATGCAAGGTCTTTTCCCAATTGTTTTCCTCTGTCTTTTTGTATTTTGCAATTTAGTTATTTGTATGTTTGCTCGTTTAATTTCTATGCCACTCAATAGCCAAAGCTCAGAGGCAACACTGTGGTGTAAAGCAGCAGAAATTAAACTTTACACCAAGCCTTTGCGGTGAACAACAGTGTCATCCAGGAAAAATACTGCACTATCTTAGCTCTTTAAAAGTCACAAAAATGGCTGGAAAACATGGGAGAGACCTTGGGAGAAAGAAGATATCAAGCAGTTATGTATATCAAGCAAATATGTTCACAAGCGCCCAGTAAATACCTCATGCAGAAAAGCCATGGAGATTAGTATGCCATCTATTCAATTCATATTACAAGATATAGAATCTTCTTGATTTAGTTTGATTTCTGTTCCTTTAAAAATTATTTTTAGCTGCCCTTCAAGCCTAAGTTTTCAGAACAGGTTAGAGAATAAAAGAACAAGCAGAACATACAGTAAAAAGTTCTACAGATTGCACAAAGCAGCATAAATCAACATAAGCAAACCAAAACTCCTCGAAGGTCCAGGCAAATAAAGTTTTTGACCTGGCACTGAACAGCGCCACACATCTCAGCTGAGGGAATGACAGAGCTTGTCCCCTCTCAACATTGCCTTTAACAAATGGTAGAATTGGAACAAGCCCTTTGTTAGGTAAAATACCCCGAAGTTCTTTCCGAGAGGATTGAAGCCAATACAAGCATCTCGAAGAGGCTGAACAAAATCCCAGGGCACTCTGCTCAGAGCTTTATTCATGTACAGCCTCTGGCTCGTGCCCCAAAGAAGTTCCACTCCCTCATTTGTGTTAGTAGATTATTATACAGTGCCAAGGTTCCTCCCCACATGGGCAACAAGTAGCCCAGCTCAGCCCACCGGCCACCCCACGTGTTGTGCTGCACATGGCCTGTGCTCACCCCATCCTGATAATTGCTGGGCTGCATTTTATCCGACAACTTGAAGGCTAACCTTGGTGCCCAGGCAAGTTCCTACAGGAGAAGACAGTCCTTCAGGGACCCTGGTCTGAAAATATTTGGGGCATTATAAGCAAAAAAGCCAGTACTTTGAATTATGCTGAGAAACAAGGCCAGATGCTAAGAAGTGGTGAGAGAGTTTCCATTTGAGCAGTCCCAGCAAGCTGCTGTATTTTGCACTGGTTGAAGAATCCAAGTGGTCCCCAGAGGAAGCTCCAGCTACAGGGCATTGCAATGATCTAAACAAGAAATTACCGGTACATAGACGGGGACGATGTTACCCCTTCCCAGGAAGGAATGCAGCCGAATGCAGCAGTCTGAACTTTGGAAAGGGGCTTTGTACCACACGGACTGCACACTCCACAGCACTGTGTGCACGGTGTTTAATTGTACTTTTTCAGCTTGTACCATCACTTCTGACTATTTTCCAGGAAATGTGTGCATGGGAAAAGAAATGAGCTGCAAGATAAAATCTTACTTGGGTGAATGAGCCATCCTCGCTGCACTCTGGAATGAAGACTGCTTCTTGTGGCTTCTTTGCTTGATCCAGAGCTTGAGCCCTTTCTAACCTGCATTTGCTCTGACCAGCATCTGTGAGGGGAACAAAATCCACTTGGAACTCAAACACAGGCAAGCAACACAATGCAATAACCAAGGCTGCAACATTCCATTGTGAGCCTATCCAAAGAGAAGCCTCATAAACTGCTTCTTTGCTGTTCTACATTGCCTGTATATACAGATAACTACCCTGGTAGCTGGCAACTACCACTGATAAAAATAAAATTTCTCTGAACCTTAAGACTTGCTAAAATCGACTCTTATTATGGGGGAGTTTTTTCTCACTTTTGTACAGTTGAGGATTACCACATAAGTCTGACAAAGTCAGTTTGAGCTCATAAAAGCTAATGCCACAATAAATGTGTGGCAGCGTGGGGCTTCCTGTTATTGTCATTTGTGAGATTGTGATTGAAAAAGGTCTAATTCATGGGTCTTCAAACTATGGCCTGTGGGCTGGATCCGGCCCACCATGCCCATTTATCTGGCCCGCCTCAGAGGTTCTGGACTCGCCGCGTGCACGCCCACCACCACCTTGCCACGTGCACACGCGCCCGCCGCTCACCAGCCCGTGCCCACGGGCACCCCCGCCTCACTGGCCTGCACCCGCCACAGCATCCTTTCAACTGGCCCCCTAATGAAAAAGTTTGAGGACCCCTGGTCCAATATATTAAAAGTCTTGCTTGATCAGGAGCATGTTCCAACCATGTTGAAGATGACAGCCTATGGACTCAGACTTATACCTTCTCGGCCTACTTCTGGAGCATTCTGCTTCACTTTCCTCAGGAGAACTTAACTGCTAGATATATTCTTCAGGTTGTGTTTAAAGTACTGCATTACAATCTACTCTAGGCCAGCCTGCCTTTCCATTTTAGCTAATCAGGCAAAATGAACTGTCCCTCCTAAGAAATATCTGTTTAATATTCCATCCCAGAAGGCCCAAGACTGGTTCGAAAGGCTTCCGCATCCTGTACCGTTGTTGAAAAGATCAACAGCAGCATCCTCAAGTTGAGGGGCAGGATGTGGGTTTCATATGGTCCCGTTATGCCGGGTCATCTTACAAAACCTTTTTGGAAAGAGATCTTTAATAAAAGGAAGCAGCTGAGGTGGATCTGACAGTTCACTTATTTGGAAGTGCCACTGAAGGCGGTGAAACTGAAAGCCTAACTACAGAGTCTGAAATTTAATGTGTTAACATCACACCCAAGACTACACCATTTCAGACAGGATGTTGCATGATTGAAAGCTCACTCATGCGAAACCTTCTTTGGCTGCTGATCAACAATCATAGGAACCTAATTTCAGGGGAAGGAAAGTTCTTATTTAGAAAACATTAAAGATTAGCAAGGGAGTCTTTAAACAGGAGAAAAATTATAGAATTATGAGTTGTATCTAGACTTAGTCATAACCAGAATAGATGTACTGAAATCAGTGGGACTTAAGTTAGTCATACTACCTAGTTTCCTTAGAAACATAGCTTTGAATTCAGATTTAGTCTTGCTAGGACAAAGTTAAGTGGTTAATGATGGCTAACTTGTCCCATTGATTTTAAGAGGACTATTCCAAGTATGACCATGTCCAGATCCAACCCTAGTTTCTAAGGAACCACGGAAGATTCCATGTAGCCATATTTAGCCATATTTAACACCAAGGAAAATATAGTGATTCTCAAATCTCTGACTTACTAATAAAAGCACATTTGGAAGCCATTGATTCCCCATCATAATTATGTGTCTAAAGTGTATACTTGTAGTGCTTTAATTAGATTTTAAAGCAATGCTGATGACTGGTGCCAGCTAAATCTTGAAGGACTGCTTGCGATTATATTATTATGTAACATTATTTTTATTTATTTTATTATTTATTTAAAACTTCCATATACCATTCTACAGTAAAAACTCTCAGAACAGTGTACAATCAGTCCAAACAATAAAACAAAGCATAGCATATCAATAACACAATAATCATACAAGTTCAAATATAATCAAAACCAATTAAACAGAAAAAGAAGAATGCACCATACAATTCTAATAACTACACCACAGCATCAATCATCAAATAAACAAAAACCAGTGTAAAATCAGAATATCCTACTCAATTAAAATGATGGGAGAATAAGGAGGTTTTAACTTGGTGCCGAAATGTATACAGGGTTAGTGCCAGGTGCACCTCCCTGAGGAGCTGTTCCATAGTTGGAGCACCACGGCTGAGAAGGTCCTTTCCCTTGTAGCCACCTTCCTTACTTCTTTAAAGGTGGCTATGGAGAAGGACCTCTGTAGGTGCTCATAGGGTCCAAGTAGGTGTATACCAGATCTCTATTTAGGCATCTTTATTGTGTGGATCACAACAAACTGTGGCAAGTTCTTAAAGAGATGGGAGTAGCTGTCCATCTTATTTGTCTCTTGAGAAACATATATGAGGGTCAAGAAGAAACAGTGAGTACTCGGTACAGAACCACTGATTGGTTCAAAATTGAGAAAGGAGTTCGGCAAGGCTGTATACTGTCACCCTGCCTATTTAACTTATATGCAGAGCACATCATGAGAAAGGCGGGGCTAGATGAATCACCAGCTGGAATTAAGATTGCGGGGAGAAATATCAACAACCTCAGATATGCAGATGATGCCACTCCCATGGCAGAAAGTGAAGAGAACTTAGGGGCCTCTTGATGTGGGTGAAGGAGGAGAGCACTAAATTTGGCTTGAAACACAACATTAAGAAAACTAAGATCATGGCATTCGGCCCTCTCACTTCCTGGCAAATAGATGGGGAAGAAATGGAGGTAGTGACAGATTTTATTTCCCTGGGCTCCAAGATCACCACAGATGGGGACTGCAGCCAAGAAATTAAAAGACGCTTGCTCCTGGGGAGGAAAGCTATGGCAAATCTAGATAGCATACTAAAAAGCAGAGACATCACCCTGCCAACAAAAGTGTGTATAGTCAAGGCTATGGTTTTCCCAGTTGCAATGTGTGGCTGTGAAAGCTGGACCATAAGGAAGGCTGAGTGCCAAAGGATTGAGGCTTTTGAAGTGTGGTGCTGGTGGAGACTCCTGCGAGTCCCTTGGACTGCAAGGCGATCAAACCGGTCAGTCCCAGAGGAGATCAACCCTGACTGCTCTTTAGAAGGCCAGATCCTGAAGATGAAACTCAAATACTTTGGCCACCTAATGAGAAGGAAGGACTCCCTGGAGAAGAGTCTAATGCTGGGAACAATAGATGGCAAAAGAAGAAGGGGACGGCAGAGGATGAGGTGGCTAGATGGAGTCACTGAAGCAGTTGGTGTGAGCTTGGGTAGACTTCGGGGGATGGTGGAGGACAGGAAGACCTGGAGGAATGTTGTCCATGGGGTTACGATGGGTCGGACACGACTTCACAACTAACAACATTTAAAATGCTTTTAATTCCTCCTACCCCAGAAAGTATATTAACAACATCCAATATTTCCTATTCACATCATAGCTTGGGGCACAGGAAAGATACTCAAAAATCAGAGACGCAGCAGATGCACAGCCTTCTTCTAGGGCAATACTAGGAGTATCAGGGAAGGATCCTGAGGGCAAACGTTATTGAGACCCCAGTGCGAGAGAGGGCGCTCCTGATGCAGAGATGCTGGCCCGGAAGGATCCGGTCCCCACCGGCCCCTGCTTCACATTGTCCTCTCCTAGCTACCTAGAAGAGGGAGGATGCAGGTGGAGGAAGCCTCGCATGCCATATGCAGTCCCATGCTGTGCGTCTAGTTCAGCCCTCACTCAGACATGCACACAAACCGTAGCCCACTCATCCAAAGGCTCCCCAGCAAGGTATTGTTTACTTCCTTTTGCTTACTCAAACTTCCCCAAAAATACTTCACCACTGCTTCTAATTAGAAGTAGAACAGCACAAGGGTGTTTTCACAAATGGTATTTGAATTCCCTGTGTCAGGACCTCTTTGGGAGGGGGTTTGAATGTATAGGCTGTATTTGTTTAGAAGTTCCTTGGCAATTTTGTTCATTGTAGTTTGCTTTGTTTATTTTAGTTTGTGTTGCTTCATATTCCTCATGTACTTATTTATGTTGAGAAAATAAAATTAAAAAACAACAACAAGGATTTCTATGGGAGTGATAGACTAAGAAAAACAAACAAGATGCTTTTAATGTTACAAGTCCAAATCAAACAAAAACACACTTACAGATCACTGCTTAGTTCCTTCGTTGCCTGCCAATTTTCTCCACTTCAAAGATGTTCAGGGTACAATCCTGTGCACTTTTAGACAGAAGAAAATCCTACTGGTGGTGCATGCTAGAAGTTGTAAGACTGTCCTATCTAAAGCGGCTTAGAATCATCCCCCCACCCCAATAATTTCTCAGGCAGAAATTACTGATACCAAGGTAATGATTTCGTCCTTTGCAAGAAGGTGCCTGTGCATCAAGAGACTCCCATTCCAACGCAAAAGTTCCGTCTTTCATTGCCTTACCTTTGCATCTGCCCCGATGAGCTACACTCAGGCTGGCATCCCTGCACTTGGCTCTCTGATAATCGCACATTGACTCGTATGTCCTGCCATCTGAGGCACAGAGGGGCTTGGTGGGGGACCTGGAGCAGTGGAGGTTGCACTGTGGATCTCTGTCACGGTCGCTTATTAAAAACTGAAATGGGAAGAAAAATGCATTTGGGTTCTTTAAACTGACTATACATTTTTGAAGAAGCATGGTAAATGTCAATGCATTTTGTTTGCTATGTTTTCTACCATGTCTGTGTTTGCATATTAGATCCTCCCTCCTACTTTCCTAAAAGCTCATCAAGAATTCTGGGTCCCCGGGCAACCACTGGATGGCAGTGGGCACTCCAGCAGGCACAAAGAGTGAGTAGCTTATGGTCCTTCAAATGTTTTGCCTTCCAAAGTCCACCATGCCTCACCATTAGCCACCATGCTGGCTGGGGCTAATGGGAGATGCAGCCCTCCAGATGTTTTGGCCTACAGATTGCCCGCCCCAGCACTAATATACACTTCATGTACATACCCAGAAAGGGCCAGTTCTAAAAGCAAATCCCCAGGAAAGGGAGCATGTCCTTCAGTTACCCTATCACTTTTTCCAGGGACCAAACAAAGGTATGTTAGAATGGTCCTCAGAGCAGAGCAACTGAAGAACCACAAGTCTTACAGAGAAAAACTGAGTCACTGTTGTAATTGCATTTGTGCAACCATTCCCTGAAATCTGTTATTTGCTCTCCAAGTGTAAAGCTGCTACGAGCAATGTCCAACGTTCCAGGCCAGCTGGCCCAGTTATTAACATTCAGAAACGTGCAAGTCAACCCAAACATCCTTTTTCTACTTTTCTCAGTTTCATAATGAATATGCTTCCCAGAATTAAAATCCAGTTATTCTGTATGCCAAGAAACTCCATTGGAGAAATACTCTACAAACAAAAGTTGACAGAAGACTTCTGTGGCCCACTCTTGCTCCATTTAGACTATGATTTTGCATTTGCTCTTGTTGCCACAGTTGGTCTTAAAGTTTGCAGCCTAAGCAAACACACTCAAATTCATTTGCCACATTCTCCCTCCCTATAAACTCCCTATAAACAGGCCTGCACATGCCATTGGGAAAGGTTAGATCGTTTTGTAGTTGCTATTTAAAGTAGTACAGGTTATCTGTTGCTAGATTAAGAGTATATGCAGAGACTTTCTGGTTCATTTAGACAAATATCCAGCTCACAAAAGGCAGTTCTAAATACTGATAACAGCATAGTATATTTATAGCTTATTGCAGAGCCTTTGCTACATACTTAATTCCTTGACACCCCGCCCTCCTGCTGCTGCTGCTGCTATTATCACATGTGGGACCTGACATGCTTTCTTGAGTTACCTACTCAATGTATAAATTATTTTCTAATTTCTGGATATAACAGTGGAAAGTTAAATTGTGTCTGCCACTCCAATATCATGTTTGGAGGCAGAGAACTTATATGCAGAACAGGAGAGCTGCACCCCTTATGGGGTCACCCTCAAGTGTCAGGAACATTTTATTTCAAGGATGGGAATCCTAAGGAGGGAGCGAAAGCAGATGTTCTGCGGAACAGGTGGATACAAGCAGTTAAAGGACAGTGCTAGGCCTCTTTTCTGGACTCGGATTTTAGAGGGCAGATCTTGCCCTGGGTTTTAAATTGTGCAGGGGGCCTCACAGGCAGAGGAGGGACCCTGCTTCAGAAGTCAGGCTTTCCACTCAAGGCAGGCTGCAAAACAAGGAAAAGGAAATACATGAAGGTTGCCATTCCTCTATCCTATGATTTTAATCAGGCAAAGAAAGAGAACAGGGTTTGTGCTTTCTGACCACCATGCAATGTAGTATCTCTTTCCTGATAACAAGCCTAGATGATGAGATTTCTCAATAGTCCATTTCTATTTTAAATGCACAAATCCTTGTGTGCTGGCTAGAGGAAGAAGCATTTACACAGGTGCATGTTTATAGCCACTTCCCAGACTAATTTCACCCTCCTCTGACCTGGGAAGATGGCAGAGGTGAGATAAGAGAGGTCCGAATGAAGCTAAATTTGCCAACCAAATGCATCTGCTCTATCTCTCCACACCTCAGCACCACTGCTGACAAAAACAACAAACAGTGATTAAAGAACTTTTCAAGCCTGTGAGAAAAAGCAGATTGCTTGCAGCTGCTCAGCAGCTGGAACCACTTTTAGAATTTGGCCTGGGAAGGCTCTGTCCCCACAAAGGAAAAGTTGTTTGGTGGTCACCCATTCTTGTCTCCCATCTGCACACTTCCATAACTGACAACTGAACAATTTATGCAAGCCTTTGTGAAATTGTGATCAGTACCCCAAAAGCTTTGCCACTGCAGAGGAACAAATTTGGGCGATCATTAGTCATGCAGAGAAGAGGAAGTGAGAGGTAGAAAAGCAAAGGTGCTCCATTCGGACTTTTAAAATGCCCACATAACATTGTGTGGAACTGCAGAAACAAAATTATTTTACTTGCTGCTGTTGTATCCCATGGATAAGATAATTTAGCATTCTTTTTAATGTGCAGATAAAGAACTGAGCCCCTATCTGCCAAATGACCAGGTACCAAGAAATCAACAATATGCCTTTTCTGATGTATGTATCAAAGCACACATCAAAATATATTCTTTTATTGCCACACTCCTCCTTTGAAAATATACTATAAACCTTTATTAGCATTCACATATTTTCTTTTGGTGCTTTTCAAAGTGAAAATGGCATGAGATGTTGACACAATCAGTATATACATAAGCAAGAATTATTTCTATACTGTATAAATAATGCAGATCTTCATGGGGTACATGCTATCTAAATATTGAAATGTTGTAGGCACTATGGATTCATAAAATCTCTGTTTGGTCGAATGAAAAGAGCTACGTAATGTTCAACTTCACCTACAATCCCAGAACAGAGGTATAAGATTAAAGATTTAAGGTGCTAGTGATGACCTATAAAGCCCTAAATGGCTTGGGTCCTGGATACCTGAAGGAGTGCCTTCTTCCCTATATGCCCTCCAGCCCCTTGAGATCTGAGGCAGAGGTCCTTCTTTGGGAGCCCTCCTTTAAAGAGATTAGGAGGGTGATAACCTGGAGAAGGGCCTTCTCTGCGGTGTCACCCTGATTGTGAAACATGCTCCCCAGAGAGGTCCGCCTGGCGCCAACACTTCTTGCTTTTCAGCAACAGACAAAACCCTTTTTATTCTCCCAGTATTTTAACTGTTAACTTGTTTTACTTAGTGGGTTTATATTTTAACATTGGATGCTGGGCAACTGTTATTCTTATTACTATTTTTAGGATTAATTTGCTGTAAACCATGCTGAGACATCTAAGTATGGGATGGTATAGAAAAGTTTTAAATAAATAAATAAAAGATCAAATGCTTTGTGCCATGCATTGAATGGGAGCATAATCTAGGACCTCAAGGCAGGATGGTGGAGCCAAAACATTTTCTTTTGGAAAGTTCATTATGGAACAGTTATTCTGCAATCCAATATTTCTGTCAGGTGAGTACTCTCCTGCTGTCATTCAGTGATGACAAGTTTCCTTCTAGCTTCAGCTTTGAGGTACATCCAGACAATCAGTTCAGGTGATAGAGTCTGTGCATGTGTGTGTGGTTTGCCACACAAAACACCCAGGAATTATGCCAATTCTAGCACAGCTGTGAGACTGGAGAGACTAGCAGGGTCAGCGTGGCAAAACAGCACAAACACAGCTGAAGCAGAATCACAGCCTTGCTGTATTTCCGTGTACGATATTTACAGAGAACTGGTTTAGTGTGTCACTTTAACGAAACTGCTGAGTGGCTACAACTTTACATGTAGATAAGTGGTATCTATTAAATGTCAGAAGCATCAAGCAGTAAACAAAGTCTGACTCTAATTCCAAAACAAATTGTTCATCATGGCACAATTCTTCATTTTTGTAAACAGATCGTGGTTGTCGTGTGCATGTTGCAGGGTGTCATGCCCCTACGGAGGAATCGTCCCCTGAGGAGCCTGGGGCTCCAAGGGGCAGAGCTGATGATGCCACAGAGCCATCTGTGTCAGAAGACCTGGCAGAGCCTGGGCCCTCCAGGGACATGACTGCAGGTCCACTGGATAGGAGAAGAGGAGTCCTGCCTCTGAACAGCAGGCTGGACAAGCCCTAGCTCTCCAGAGCATCCTTGACCCAGCAGGACTCCTTGGAGAAGATAAAGGCAGACCCACCAAGTGAAAAGGAATAGGACTTTTGCCAAGAGTGAACCCACGAAGCTCTGGCTAGGCAAGCCTTCCATGGCAGTCTAGCCATTATTGGTAACATTGTTCTCCCAGTGCTGTGCATTTTTGAACTTGTGACTGAACTCCTGAGCCTTGGGATCCAGCTTGGCTCTGCTTCTTCGACTGCGTGTTGCATCTGACTGCTTGCTTGTATTTGCCTTGTCTGAGACTCAGGCTTCTCCTCCAGAAACCACGTACTTGCCTGGAATACTAGGCTTTGCCCACTGCCATTATCTTGATAATGCTTGCTGCTGTCTGATCTGGTAAAGGACTGAAACATCTTAAACATCTTGCTTAATCATCTGCCTCCTTACTATTCCTACTGGATAGGTTCCTGCATTTCCGTAGCACAGATTTTGAGCCTTGTGGAGCAGAACACAGAACAGGATCACTGAAGTGAATGTAGGCTACATGGCAGTTAACACTGATGGAATTCACTCTGTCCAGTATCACTTCTCCATCACGTGACACAAGAGTGACTAGTTCTGAATGCTGTATTGAGTCCTTTAAGCCCAAATCCGTCAGCTGTCCTTTAGTGGGAATGAACATTCTGGCCTAGATATAATTTCTTATAAATATATGATGGTTAAGACATATGCAAAGTAATCCTTGCAGCCAAGGGGAAAAATAAAACCTTTCTTGAATGTTGCATAAGAGAGAGCACAGGCAGGCTCACTTCACATGCTAAGCCACCTGCAAATAAGTTGCACAGGGTGAGTTGTTTGCAGGACAACCCATGGGGCACCCAGCAGCTTGCACCCATCTTCACTGTGGCTTCTTCTCTCCCCCATCTACTATCCCAGTGTCCTTCACTGAAGAATTTGCATTGCCACCCTTTCTTGGCTCAGATTTCTACCCCTTTTCAGAGCCTCAAAA